AAATATAGAGATAAGGGTATAATAGGCAATTGCAACACAAAATGACAAAATTGTGTCAAGGGCTATGTCAAAGGCTATGTTCGTTTAGCATTATTCAACGCTATTCTATTTTGTTACAAAATTGATAATTGGCTCGTCAACTCTGTATACCTATGACAACCTTGATTCGACTTCAAAATAATTTTATTAAAATGGATTCAGAGCTAGGCATATCTGCCCACATTTTTAAAAATAAACAATTTGTACATTTTCTTTTATGGTTTACCGTATATCATGGACAGTCAACAAAATTATCGCAAATTAAGTGTGAAAGCAGGTTTGATATAATTTCACACTATAGTAGCTTTCAATATTTTCTTTTTTTCAAAGAAAAATGTCAAATTTCTAGAATTTTATTGAAAACGGGTCGAGAAAACTTTTCCTTTGAAAAAATATAAGGTAGGCATGCCATTCCTTTCCTGGGGGAAATGGCCGAACCTCTAAAATCTATTCATTTGCTGCTATTATTTGTATAAACAAAGGTCCAAAAGACAAAATTCCATAATCCCATTCACATGGCAATTCGAAGGAAAGCAAGTTGCCAAAAAACTAATCCTGATCTGCATAACGCTACAGAAAACAAATCTAAAATCCAAATATATCACACAGCATACAAATTTCTCAAGGATCTAAATGAACAACATAAATAAGTAGACCTTCTAGTAACGGTCAAAGGTAGGGGGGCGCCCTCCTCTCCTAGGGCGGTCATAGGGACCAGGCCTCTCCCTATGGCTTCTGCCCTCGTAACGAACAGGACCTCCACCTCCATACCTGTCACTGCTACCTCTGGGACCTCCATCCCTATCATAGGATCTGTCTTTACCGTACCCATTCTGGGGATAACGATCGGAGCCCCCGTACTTATCTACCACAAACCGGTCCCCAGTCGGGGGATACCTGCACATATAGATGAAGCCATAATGAATAAAACAATCAGTAAAAAGTTAGCTACATCAGCATCACGAAATTAACTTGCACTGTGAGACTTGGTGGAACAAGGTTCACCGAGTTTATTCAAAGCTTAAGTGCTTAACTATTAAAAACTTCTTTACAGTAACACAACCCAACTAAACAAGGAAATTAAAATTTTGCAATCAGATTTCTCCTTTCAGGAATGAAGGGGAAGTGTTGAGAGAAGATAATAACATGGTAAATCCATTCAAATTTAGGTTTTTGCAATAAGAATACCTGTCATTAACATATCGATCACGGTTCCCATATCGATCATCCCTGCTGTCATAACGATCCCTATCGCCGTTACGACCTCTATCATATTTATCATCCATGTATCGTCCACGGTCATTTGCAAAGTGATCACCACGACCACCAGCCCCACCATACCTAGAACGTGGAGGTGAGAAAGGACGACCACCTCGGCCACCACCTGCTGTTGGACAGTCTCGGGCCCAATGTCCTGGGCGACCGCATTTGAAGCATTCATCCTGCCCAGCTGACCTATCTCCTCCACCATAACTGCCCCTGCCACCTGAAGAGTAACCTCCGTAGCCACGCCCTGGATCTTCATCCCCCATTTTTGGCTGAGCCTTGTTCACTGAGATGACACGCTCTCCAAACTCTCTACCATGCATATCACGGATCGCGTCTTCCATTGCCCGACGGTCAGCAAAGGTCAAAAAGCCAAATCCACGAGGGCGGCCTGTATCTCTTTCCAGCATTACCTACATGAAGATTGCAATTGAGAAACCAAAATGGAGGATGACTGACCAATCCAAGTAAGAGCATAATATTCAATAGACTGATTATTCGGAATAATTTGAAAATTCCTGCAAGGGAAGTGATGCATTGTGTCAATACCACTTGCAGTGGAATCACCACCAAGTGATATCAACATAAACAGCTCAATAGAAACTTGCGCGTGATATTAAATATAAATCTCACTTACCATCAATTCAAACGCTTAAGCATGAATAACCAGTATATTTTCATATTCATCAGAGGCATGAGAAAGGACAATGAAGTTCTATATGTGTTATTTCTAAAAAAAGCTTACCTTAACCATTAAGATATGATATAAGAATAGTAACTGAATGAGAAGCTCCTGTACTTGGAGTTGTAGCTATATAATTGAAAAAGACACGATGCACAAATTTAGACATCATAAAATGCAAGCAAAAAACAAATACATTACATTTTAAAAACAAGCTACATGAACAAACAAAAGTTCATTTTTTTTGATTTAACAGATAAATAATTTATCATAAATTAACTATATACAGAAAATTTCGAAGTACTAAAAGTGAGCACTGAGCAGTAATCAAGTATAAAGCATGTATGCAAATAAAATTGTGAAAGGAAGTGTTTACAGTATTTTTTTTAGTGCCCTCTTCAGTTTATTCAAAACCTGAAGTTGTGATGGCCCTTGCAGCAAGCTTCATATAGGATTTATGTACAACATGTCGAAGGAGAAACGAAGTCTTACAAGAGTAGAAGAATCCGCAGAACAGCAGATCTCAATCATCTGACTTTAGGTTCTACACAGGCCTCAAAATTCATAATACTCAGATTGACAACACAGCACTCAAGAAATCACACAGGACAGGTTCCTAATGATAATGAACATAATCTATTAGGTCCGGCTGCTTGATCTGATTACAATAATTGCACTTCAATCACTTCAGGTTCTGGTCTGTAAACAACTATATTTCAACCCACATATCCAAAAAACGGACGTACAGCCATGGGAAGAATCACATGACACGTGCAGCTTGACAAAACCTTTCAAACTGAGCTTCCACCCTTAAAAGTCATCTCATTCCAGATCACTGGATTCGAAGCAACAGCTACCAACATACTCAGTTGAGTAGAATAATGGAACCCAAAACTATAACCCAGCTTCCTTACTGACTCCAGTATTTAATTAAAATTAGGCACTAAAGCACTAAAACGCAACCATAAATGAGACTACTTTCTGACAACAATCATGCTACCTGTACAATCTTATTTGTACAATCATGAATGACAACCTTTGTTGGCATCACCACATCCATCCATTTTCAAATTGTCAAAAACTATTTTTTAAATCATTGGTCCAGATTTTGCCAACTCCAACATTGTCAACAATGTTTATCAACCAACATTGTACAAATAGTTTAATTCTTCTGACAATTTACTCCAGTCAGGTACTTGAGAGCATGCCCTGGATATTTTTTATCATCAATAAACTCATTTAACGAAGAATATACTTAGCACATACATATCCAGAATAATCAGACATCAAATTCCATCCAGAAAGACGCCCCATTTCAAATTTTGATGCTGACTTCAATGAAGCGGTACTATGCATACACATCATCAGATCGTCGTAAAAGTTACGTGAATATGATATTGCCTCAAGAAGAATACCTCACCAAAACAATGCAGATAAACTTAGACTCAAACAATAATATAAGCATTCTAAGGGGAATGAATCAGATGTTACAATTTGAACTCTTTTGAATCATAGACAACTGCTCCCTGGACAGTTCACAATGTGCAAATAAAGAACACCAAGTTAGTATGCCTGAATTATAATTAAAAATTCTGTAGCATGAAGCACGCAGCTTGTAGAAATCAGAATGCTGGATGAACCACCGACCAGCTTCAAGCCTTTGGACTTTGTTACACTCAAATCTGAAAAGTCATTAAACCCTAAATGTTAATCAAAATTCAGGGTGTTCATTTTAAAATCACTGCCTCTGACAAAACTGAACTCATACAGGTGACCCTCAGGCACTGCACTCTCATTTCTACAAGATTGCTTCATATGGTCTGAGCCGATATGCAGTAAAAAGGAAAGTAAATTCAGGTGAAAAAATGAACTGTCATCGAAATCAGAAAGTAGCAGGGTCAGGGAAAGAGCGGAAAAAGAAATTTTGAGGGACAGAATCCCTGAAGTAAATAAAATGGTATGACAGAACCACAGAGAATTTAGCTCGTCTTAATTGTGCTGTCTCAGACTAACAAGGGGAAGTACCGCTACACCGGAAAGGGAAGATTGCATATATTCTTAAAAACTGTTAACTCTAAAGATTCTGCCTCTTCAGTGTTGAAAATGTTCTTGAAAGAAATTACATCTTCATATCCGGCATCCGAAATTTTTGAGAAGTGAAGCACACTTCAAACAGAAGTTCTAATTAAAAAAAATTGAAAAATGAAGCTGAGTCTAGAAGTTCTCCAGTGCCTTTGAAGAAACAGCCACCTTCTGCAGCTCTTAACCAAATTAATGTAACTAACAATGAACAAACCACGATGTAGAAACCTTGAAGAAGACTTCAGGAAAACTCTGTCGTAAAATAAGCAACATCTCCTAATAAAATCTTCTGACACTGTTGGGCCAAGCACGTGATGATTGATCAACATATTCAACTTGAGCATACTGAAAAGGCATTCTAACGGATAGGGTTGAAATGATGGATTATATGGCACACTGCAATTATGTATAATGTAGTCAACCTCAATGTTTTAAATTTCATCCAGAGTCAGAAAAGATCATAAACAGTGCCCAAAATCCTGAAAATCTTACGAGAACAAGAAGCTTCTAGAAGTTTGCTACCACATGTGGCTTTTGGCTCAACCATAACACAATCTCATGCATGTAAATGATATACTATGGGCAATGATTTGCTTATCGTGGCTGAAAATGAAGAATTACTTTAGGTTAGGAACAACATGAAATCTAAATAGCGTGGATTACGCGATAACAATGTACTGTTAAAGTGGTTGTCGGAGAAGACTTGTTTATCGTTGGTTCAAAGAATTTACAAGATGAAGATCCGTCTTTCTGTAGTTTGGTGAGTAGAACCATGGGTGACTTACTAGGTTTCATTTGGGTTTATAGGGAAAATAAGGAATTGAGATCCCGCCTATAGGCGAATCAATGAAGACCTTTCTGAAATCGGTGGACTTCTCTTTCAAACTTCCTCAAGCGAAAGCCTTTTAACCATAATTGGAATTTTGCCCAAGACAAGGTCAAACTGTTGGGAAGAGGACATGATCAATAGAACCTGACTCAATGAAGCAATAGACTGAAAATATCCCAAGTAAAACTGGCAAAGTCCCCATGCAAAACTGATTCTAAAACTCAAACATCAGAAACAATTGCATGAAGCAAACTACGAAACATAAGAGAAATAGGGATTCAGCAGTCCAGCACATCCCAAGTCCGAACGAACCCAAAGTTCCATCAAATCCTGCCCTTAAGGCCGGCATTACAGAGATCATAAGCACCATACAGGGAAAAATGAGAAAGAGAGAGATCAATAGTGTGATGAGAGGGACAAAAAAGCGCAAAAATATATTAAAATAGCTAGAAAGAAGAAACACCTGATATAATGTATGATGTTAGTGTTTTTTGTTTCTATGACTGTCAACTTTTTCACGATGGGAATTGACAGATTCCACAAAACAACGTGGTTAATAAACAATGAAAAAGAGCCCCTTTAAACAGTTACATTAACCATATTTCATTATTTCCAATGAAAATAATCAATATAAAAATTGGTCGTTAAGCACCTAAACAATCGTTCACAAGCCAGCAAATCTGTTCAATAAATGTTTCCTTAGACAAAAATCAGACTCTTCTTCACACATTCTTCTTATATTATCCACGTCGCACACATATATTTATGTGTGTGTATAACATAATTCACGACTAAATTGAATTTTGACTCTTATTTAAGCACGTGAAATTTACCAAAATTCTGTAAAAATTATAGAATACTTAATAAAAACTAACCAGATAAACAATGAAAAAAAAAAAAGCAAAATAAAAACCTCCATTTTCCGAAATAAAATGATATCTTCCAGGAAAAATTGCATTAAACAATGGTATGAAATCAAACCTGACAGTCGATAATTTTGCCAAAACGGCTAAAAGCATCTTCAAGCTGACGCTCGGTGATGTCCCACGATAACCCTCCAACAAATATACGGTAGTCTTGATCCTTCGCGGCCATCTCTCTAAAACCCCTATCAATCCAGTCTTAGCAATTCAAAATAAAGAATCATCAGTGTTACACATACAGTGCGAAACGTATGTATATATGTGCGATAGAGAAAGATAAGGTTTTTACTTTTTACCAGTAAGAAAATGTCGAAATGAGGAGATTTTTGAGATCAAGTGTTGAGTTTGGAAGTAAAACCCTAAGACCCTGGGAATTTCCTTTTCTAGGTCTATTGTTTTTATTATTTTTTCCCAAATAATAAAAGAATTCTTAAAAGTACAAATAATATTACTAGTTTACCTTTTTTCCGAGGAGGAATCGAACCGTAGAACTCGAAAATCAGCCAAAAGAGATTCGATAGCTATCTGCCGCTACTTCACAAGGAGGGTGAGGAATGATCATACGTAAAAGAGAACAGAGTACCAATGGTGTTGAATATCCATTTAAGCGTCGACGTATCATTGATCCTATTAAATGGCTCATAATGTATTTTATTTAATTGAACATATAATTTAATGTCATCAGTGTTGTCAATCAAATTGATTTTAAAACAAGTGATGATAAATATCATTACACTTTTGAATTAAATATTGAGTTTGAGATCAATGTTTTTTTCCGTTATTTTTTCACTTTTAAATTTCATTAACTTTTAGATAATTATAATTTATCGCGTATACTTGATTAGTATATATATACACACATCTCATGCGATTTTGCGACCATATTGGTTAAAATTAATTGTTAACTTGGAATTAAATTAAAATTTGGATTTTAATCCGTGTCAAACAGGGCATTGTATTAAACTAAGCTAAGTTATTGAGAAAATAAATAATACTTTCTAGTTTCTACAACTATATTTGTTTTTTATAGAGCCCGTGATTGTTACTTGTGGACTGCAAAAGCAAAAAGAGCGCATCTTCCGGTGGTTAATGATTAATATTTACTCCCCCCTCTTAGAGTTGATTTGTTTGATTTTAAATCATTAATAACGAATATATGGCGCAACTAATTCTTTTTTGTACGGATAAATGTTTTATTATAGTGAATTATGTGAGCATTCATTGGATCATTATTTTAGACAATATATTCGACAAACGATCATATTTTCTAAAGTAAATTAATCTAACGATATAGATTAACTTCAAAACAAAAAATGAAAATTTAATTATCTTCGTGACTGCATGGTCCCCACTCCTCATCCATCCCATTCCGGCATTCCCGCACAACCCCCACCTTGTCGTTATGACTGCTTCTACAATTTTAATATCCCCTTGTTAATCAATGGTCTCTATTAATAAAGAATTGAACCACGCTTTTCCCATATTTGAACTTGCTATTTTGTAAACGTATGATAAGTTTTCACATTTAATAAAAATTAATTGGTAAAACCCCACACACAAAGTTCTACC